CACCCTTTGAGCATTTTTTTTTATTTATGTATTGAAAAATTACATTTTAGCATTTCATATACTGTTTATTCAAGAAAATGATACGAGATAAAATTTCACATATTATTCACACACAATTTTAAAAATTTAATTTCTTTTAAGAAATTTGGAAATTTTTAAAATTCTACTCTTTTTGTGTTAATTAACTTTTTGACATGAAATTTTTGTAATATTTCCGAGGATGTTTTAAACACCTTTAGGGATCGAGTTTACAATACCTTAGTTAATTTTGGAGAAAAAAAATAATAAAATGTTGATATATATATGTAGGTTCTAGTACTTCTTCATTTTTATTTTATATTACTATATATATACTAAAATTCAACCAAAAGCATACTATTTCCCAAATTTAATGTTTTTTAAAAAAAGAGGTATTCAGTTTACAGTAAAATAGATCTCTAATTTTGTTACATGCATTACATATAAGACACAGGGGAAAAAATGGAAGTGATTGGTAATTAATTGGGGAAGAATGTGGAAAACACAAACTGAGAAAAACCATTTTAAGGTTTATAATTCTGAAAAAATAATTATTATAAGCTTAAATAAATATAAAATACCACACTAAAACATTAGCTATATATTTTCATTAAAAATAAAATATAATATAAATCTTACTCCCCCGACAACCACGTATCATTCGACTTAGAGGAGAACTTTTACTTTCTATGGCACCTCATCCATTTTTCCCCAAGAAACGAGCAGAAATTTTTAACAATTTTTCTAAATTTTAATTGTTGCTGGTCCTCATATTTATCAAAGTCCGTTGTAGTCCTAACTAAACTCAAAACAGCATAAGTTTTGCGCTAGTATCTTGCTCTTCCTTCCATATATTGAATAAGGCACGCCGAGTAATACCATCGGCCAACGCTGAAAAAAAAACCATAACTTTGCGAGTAGCAGGTAGTAGCAACTAAATTTAGTATTAAATTAAAGGTCTATATCTACTCTATGTGACACTTAAGTGTTACTGTGATCAATCCGTGTCAATCCCAAAAGTTCTATTCCAATTAACACAAAAATCCGACGTATGTTAGTAGGAGTTACATCCTGTGCTAAATGTTATGTTTTTGCAATTTTTAATTAAACTTGAACCTAATTTGAAAGTCAAATCAAGAAATTAACTACCCATGGCATGCATTTAAAAAAACCCGCTTAAATCTGCAAAATCTTTTTCAGACGAAACGATTGAGCTTCTTGCTAGAAAATGACCTTCGTAAGTGTTTCTTGCAGCAAAAAAAAAAAAAAAAACCCGATCTATACCGCTGATTGTAGAATATTTCCATGTGGTTTAGCAGCTTCCGTCAGAAACGGAAATTGCTTACCACATGGCTAGGGAACCTATGAGGACCATAAATAGTGGGTTTTTTTTAATTCACGCAATTTCATTTTTGGACTTTCCGAGATCTAGATTGGGAAAACTGCCCACTGTGCGGCGTCGCCATTTTTCCCACACGGTGTCGTCTTCCATGCCATCCAATGCATTTCTTATGCAACATTTATTTTTAAAAAAGAATATTTCGTAGAAGTATTTAAAAGAATTATTAAAGACTTTTGAGTATTTACAAGCAAAAATAATATTTTGTTTACGCCATCAACGTACATTTGTTTCATCCGTGTCAAATTTTCAGTCGCCGTTTTTTTCTTTCGTCATACTTTCTTACCGATTGATGCCTACGTGATTAAACGAAAAAAAAGCATATACTAAAAAAATTTCCTAAGTACGACCAGATAACATTGTTTAGGAAATATTGAATACTGTAGATAAATTGAAGAAAGGGATAAATCATCCATGCAAGTGGCCAGAATGGAAGGTTACATTTTTCCTTTTGAAAGGCGTGGAAACTCAACTTTACCAATCCAACAAATGTTTTCCCTTCGATTCTAATCCGCACCTGATTTTCAGTAACATTAATGCTGGAAAAATAGTGGAGCTTAAATTTGAGTAAATAAGGTACATAATATTCAACAAAGAATATCTGTTGTGACTAATGCCACCTGCCTGACGAAGTCAGATCGAGGCCCACGAAATTCATCACGGCTAAGGGCTAGAATATTTACGCCTGTCGTTAGCTTTAGCTTTGATCACCATGCAGGTGACAGTACAATTTTGCTCAGTTCCACCGCAATTTACAGGGAGAAAACCCTGGGGGTGGCCAGGGGCCTCCCACCTCTCTTCCCCTTCCACCAACTACACGAGAGGACTTGCGGCTCGACGGCTATTTAGAGTACCCCATGCCGCGAAGGCACTATACATTTACAAACATTCATGTCTTCTCCGGGATTCGAACCCAGTCCCTACAGCACCGCAGTCAGCGTCGCTAACCACTATTTGGGTTGGGCGACAAAGAATACTTTAAATGGAATATCAAATGTATTTAAATAGAAAATCCACAGTTGATAATAATACATACGATCAGGAAAATATAATTACAATTAGAAACAGAAAAAAAATCTCTCTGTATAGTAATGAAAAATATAAGTGATGAAAAAACTTTAAAAAATCAAAGAAGGATGCTACAACACCCAGCTATAAACACAGCACGCTGAGGACTGCTTTTAGCGGGATTAAAATCAGTTTTATCGCCTAGCCAACTTCCTTCATTTTGTTTATAGCTCTGAATAAAAATGAAACAAAAAAAAATCAGCAAAAATGTTATGAAAGAGACGTAAAAGAATATTTATATGAATGAATAACAACCAACACAAAATTAATATGTATTTACAAATTGGCTTTTAACTAGATCGAGAAAAATCAGATATACTGGGTAGTTCTTTTTTCTCCTCTTCATATTTTTTGTTGCAAATGGCTCGAATTATTTTCGCTTTTCCCTTCCGCACGCGATATTGTCGTTAAGACATCATCGCAAGCACAAAAAATATGTATGTTAATATTCCATATTACTTATTCATTTTTAATATCCAATTTTTTTAAAAATTCTTTTGTTCTTTTCAGAAACTGACAGTGAAGAGCAATAAGTTTTATAAAGAATTATTATACATGAGACGACGTGAATTTTAAGTGATAAATAAATAGACTTTTGTAAAGTTCACAATTTTAAATCAAAACATACTACATAAATTTTAGATCTATGTGTGTATTTTTACTGAAAAAAATCAGTAAGGTACAGAGATAAAATTCAGAGGTTTCTTTTGACTGGTCCTACTAAATACTAAGAATTGAAAGATTTGAGGTATAATTATTTTAGAAGAATGTCTAATTTAAGGTAACGGACTACATTCGGAACTGTTATATTGCAAAAGCGTATAAATGGATACTTTTTTTATGATATTTAGTGTTATTTAGATTAGAATACATGTATAAAATTGTTTTAAGAATATTATCACAGTAAAAAATTATTTAGATGCAATACTTTGGCAAAAATGGAACATACAATTAATTATTTTTAAAACATTCTCCTTTTATGGAAAATGCTTCTATAATAATAACATTTTGCCTATATGTGGCTCAGACCTCTCTACAGAGCCTGAATTAGGATTTTTGAATTATATAACTTAGAAGTAGATTTATCCATATTTTCATACAATAGAGTGGAGAAATTTTAAGGAGAAAACACCGATAACTAATTCAATTGGTAGTAACTCTGAAAATAATGTGAATTTTACGAAAATCCCAGTTCAAGCCCTCTGGAGAAATTTTTGCTTTATATAAGCAAAATATTATTATAGAAGCATTTTTCATTAAAAAAAAAAGAATGTTTTGAAAAAAGGTAATTCTAAGTTCATTTTTTGCCAAAATATTGCATTTAAATTATTTTGTATTCTAATAATATTTTTAAAACAATTTTATACATGTATTTTAATCCAATTGACACTAAATATCATAAAAATTATCCATTTATACGCTTTTTTTTTAAATCGCGGGTTCCGAACGTAGTCGGATACCTTAATGTATAGTAATAATCAATATAATCTGATTCTGGACTTTAATAATATAATACATAATTTGATAACACAGATGTTTTCAAATATGATTTTATAAAAAATGCATAACTTGATATACATTAATAAAATAAATGAATCTAATTCAAAATTTGTATAAGAGCTAATAAGACATAAGAGGAAATATATGTACTCGTAAAAATATCTGAATAGAATGAAATGTAATTATTTACATCTGAACAAAATAAAGTGTAAATATGCTGTGAAGAATTTTGAGAAGATTATTTTACTTTATAAGATATGTATAATTAAGGATTACTTCCTATACAAAGTTAAAGAATTTCAATCTTTTATGGTTTTCATCTTCTCAGCATATAATTCTTGAGATAGTCCTCTGAATTAGAGTACAATTCTTACGATCAAACTACTTTTTTTCTGGTGCAGTCAAAATTAAAACTTAAAACATAATTTGTGCAATGTACTGGGTGTGAAACAATTATATAGATGATATCTCAATACATATTACTACACTTGGTATTACAATAACATATTAAATTATACAATGTCATAGTAAAATAATCGTTATATAAATTATATTTTTGAATAATTCATAAGTCAAATGCCATTATTTTATAGGAAAAATCGTTTCCATTGTGACTGGATGTAAAAGGCCCATGGGATGTAAAAACGATCTTTAATTAATAGAAGTATGCGAAATAATGCTTCATTTTGTAGCACTTAACAGCATTTACAAAAACAAATGAGTATTTTTCAATTCCTACTATTAATTCACACTCCCCCTATATATATATATATATATATATATATATATATATGTATTTTGTTCAAATTTTCAATCATTAATAAATTACTTTGCATTCATCTACTCGTTCAAAAAATAATTTTTTTATACTTGTAGTGTATAGTGGATGACACTTGATGTTAATACAGTTTTTTCTAATATTAATTCATTAATTCTTTTTAATTGATGAATAAATAGTAACAAACACAAAAATAATAGTCCAACACCACATATAAAAAGGAAAATCACTCGTTCTATCCCTGTAAGTGCAATGGATAGCGTGTTGGACTTCTAAACCAAAGGTCGTGGCTTCGAGTTCTATCTGGGATGGCCTAATTTCTGAGAGTCTGATTTAAGAATGAATAAATAACAACAAAGAAAAACAAAATAATTATCCAACATCCTATATAGAAAGGAAAATCGCTTTTTATTTTGTCATTTAGTAGTGTGATCCTGTCATATGTACATACATATTTATATTAATAGCAGTTATTTAATAAAAAGTAACTAAAATAAAAATTTTCTTTGTTGACCTAAGTAAGAATTGCTTTAATTAATTTTTTTTATATATATTTTATTTTCCCCTTAGATCGGTAAATGGATGTTTCTTTTTTAAATTTAATTTTTGTCTATACTACTCGAATAAGTAAATCATATCGTGTAGGGCTGGGTAGAAAAAATGGAGAGAATTAGAGGAGAAAATAATGAAAAAAACACGTAACACCTACGAAAACTCAACTACTGTTTAAAAATATTAAATGGTGAATGGTTGTTGTTTTAAAGCTCGGAACAGTAAGAAAAGTACTTTAATTGAAAAAAGTAGTAGAATATATTGGTATATTTATTAGAGTAATAAAAATTATTAAGTTCAGATTGTTTTTCAGCTATTCGATTTCTTTTTTCAATATTAAAAGACGCTTTCAAAAAGTTAATTTTAATAAAGCAATAATTTTATTCAAAATGATTTTTTTATTATTAATTATATTGTACTTGAAAGTCACAATATATTAAAGTTAGGTTTTTATTACATAATATCGGTGAAAGAATTTAAACTATTATTTGGAAAATTTATTTAAAGCATTCACGATTAAAACTATTTGGAATATTCTTTACCGAAAGAATTGTAGTGCAATATTCGGAATTTCTTTTCCTTCTTTGTTAATAATTCATTTAAAAAAAATCGTGACTCAAAATTCCTTGATTAAATACATGCAGAAATGGCATAAGATTTATTTTAAATTCCAGATTATGAGGAATAACTTAAATATACATGAATAGACGAAACAATTACTTAAATATTTCAAAAAGCTATCAATATCTTTATAAGAAAACTAGCAGTCGATATAGATAAAATAATAAAAATAATTGTGTATGAAATACAATATTGAAGTAAGACAAAGAAGAGTTTTTAGTATTTTACGTCTCCTGCATCTGAATGTGAAAGTTTGATTTTCTACTCATAAAATGTGTGTGTTACACAAATACATGCATGCATAATTAAAAAAAAAAATCCTAAAGAAGAAATAAATTTTCCCTTGTAGTAAATTCTGATGAATACATTTTTTTATTTAAATATTTGAATTTAATTCGATGATAAATTAATTTTATATCAGGATAAAGCTTTTCTTTAGATTTCGTTGTTCTAATAGATTAAGGCAGTGCTTCTCAAACTTTCAAAATTTGTGACCCAATATTCAAACATAATTTTCATCGCACCCTCCCCTTCCCCATTCCATAGAATAACAATGTTTTGAATTCAATAATACTATACTTTGATGCTAGAGCTACAATACACCTTTAACCTCTTAAGTTCCCCTGTCACTAAACGTCTCGCTCAAAGCGTAACGTATATATGCGCAAAGCGTATATATGCGTATTTCTGAAGTACGATAATTTCTGAGCACTGCATTCCATAAAATTGTTCCAAAGTCTTTGGAATGCAATAAAAAGGCATTGACAATGTTTACAAAGGATATACTAATTTTAGATGATTTACATCTTTATTTCTGTTCTCTCCCACCCCACACCCCAACTGTACATCACATACGCGCGCCTTCATGGAAAACTGTGGCATTGGCGTGCGAATCTAATCGAAAGTTAGAAGAGTAATAACAAACCATACAAATAATCAAGAGAAATATTAATTTTTGTATATGATTTTATATATAACACAAGCTCATATAGGTAATTATTAAACTTGTTCTTAACTTGATATTATTTTGCAAAAGCGTATAAATGGATAATATTTATGATATTGAGTGTCACTTAGATTAGAAAATGTACATGAAACTGTTTTAAGAATAGTATTACAGTAAAAGATTATTTAAGTACAATATATATTTCGGCTACAAATTAACTTAGAATAACAATTTTTCAAAATGTTCTTCTTTTGTGAAAAATGCTTCCATTATAATAATATTTTGCCTGTATATAGCTCAAACCTCTGTACAAAGGCTCAATAGAATTTTTGAAATATATTTATCCATGTTTTGCGACAACAGAGGGAATAAATTTTTTAAAAAAATAAAAAACGCCGATAATTATTTCAAATGGTTGCAACTATGAAAACAATGTGAATGTTTCAAAAATCATAGTTGAGCCTCTGTACAGAGGTCTGAGGTATATACAGGCAAAATATTATTATAATTGAAGCATTTTTCACAAAAGGAGAACATTTTGAAAAAAGGTTATTCTAAGTTAATTTTTTGCCGAAATATTGTATTTAAATAATTTCTTTTTGTTAAAATGTCCTTAAAACAATTTTATACATGTATTCTAATCTAAGTGACACTAAATATCATGAAAATTATTCATTTATGTGCCTTTTTAAAATCACGGTTCCGAATGTAGTCGGATACCTTAATTTAATTATATATACATTACGCAGTACTGAATCATTTACAAATGTATTCTATCAGTCTAAATATGTATTAATTTTTTTAAGTTATCTTGTTTTTAACTTTTCAATATGCTCGCGCCCCCTCGTAGAGTTATCACGACCCCTTAAGGACCGCACCAAAAAGTTTGTACCTTAATACAGCGTTTCTCATTTAGTTTTAGGTTTAATACTTCAGGTTTATAAGCCAATATAATTATTACTAACTACCATCCAGCATTACTTTTTTCATATTTATATCTGAGCAAATTTTAATTTCTGTTTACAGTGAATGTGTAGTTGATCCAAAACTCTCAGCTGTACTTTTAGAATAATTTAACAATATAGCGTAAAACGTAGAGCATATTTTTCTTTCAAAAATTTGTCTTCATTTTGTTCAGTTCAAAATAAACAAAACTTACTAATATTTTTTTAAAAAAAAATGGCATTCACATTTTAGAACATAAATTTGTTCATTTTTTGAAGGACGTCGGAAAACATGCAAATGCATACACAGTGCGTGTTTGGAACATTGCAAAATACAGAAATATAAAAAGGTAGTAACAGAGCTTAAATTGAACCGATTGTTATTAACCATTATTTGGTTGGTTGCCATAGAGCAAGTAAAAAAGGATTTACTTTTTTTCTTTTTTGAAACTAGATACGAGAGGCATCTCTTTCTCGTACAGTTAAATCACTAAAACTCCTCATGAACATCGTTTTTAGTTACGTTCTAATTTGTATTACTTATTCATAGTCTCTCTGTTTCAGCGTTTTGACTAAAATAGGAATTAACTTGAAAGGGTCTTCTACAAAATCCATCAAATAAAGCGTGACAGAGCAAATATGTCTGTATTGTTTAGTTATGGCAAGAAACATTATGTGTGGAATTCTACACAATAGAAAATAATTATACATGAGTTATACATAGACAGTCATTAGCATATTATATTATTTTTAAGAAAATGGAATGAAAAATGGTGGAAATATCGTAAAATACGGCGTACAACGTGCACTTTTAACACAAAAAAATAGGATCGAAATGTACGGGTGCGCGTTATACGCCAGTTATAAAATACATATAAAGGGCTTTAAAAATAAAAAGATAAACATAGAAAAAAACATAGATTAAAATACTGTTCATTTAAAAGAAATGAATTTCCTGATGAACTTAAAGATCATAGTTCTATAAGGTTACTGGTTTTTTTTTCAAAAGCTTCGAATAACACCCCGAATAAATGAATTCAAAACTTAAGAGTATTGCATTCGTACATTTCAAGTTTCTTCGTAAAAAAGGGGGTGCGCATTATACGGCGAATATAGCTAAAAATTAAAAATTGCAGCTTGAAAGAGTAGGTGCTCGTTATACACCGGATTTTACGGTAGTAAAAAATGTTCAATATCAGAAATGTTTAAACTACTATCCCTGATGGAAAAAAACTTTTTATTTTTATTTTACTCTTTTATGATAATGATTCCTTATGAGTCAATACATAAATCCTTAAGGGGAGTTGGAAACCTCTATACCGACAATGTTAAATTGGTTGTTTTCGATGTACCTTTTCGCAAAATCTGTTATATGTACATGCTTGAAATTTTTGATACAATTAAAATACACCTTTCTCATTCCACTGAAATGAGTTTTTAGCTTATTTTGAATTTTTTAATAGTTTATAAAATATTTTATCTAACATAATGTAATTTGACCCTTTTCTCCCATAAAAAAAATTTGTAAAAAATAAATTTTTGAGTTTCTTACAAAAAGTTCAATTTAGTATATATTAGCCATCATTATAAATATGTCAAAAATTTACATACCTGTGAACATCATTTTCCCAGAAAAGGTTCATCGAGCATCAAAAAAATTTACGTTTTGAGATAAATGAGCTTTAATGTATAATTACTTTTTTATTAAAACATTTCTCCCCATACTGCAAATGATTTACATTTTTTTTTAATCTCATCATCCTCTCTCTTCATTTTAAGTTTTCTTGCCTAACTTCCATTGATTTTATAAACATGAGTATTTAGACTTTAACAGCCTCTGTTTGTTGAGGCTCCCCATTGCCTGTACCGTATTATCACCAGGCTCAATATAAAATTATTATAATATTGATTATTTAAATATTGAGGAAACTTAATAGTTTCCTCAATATTTCTGGTTTCGATATATTTCCCATGTTAAATGATGAAATTACATCCTATGTACCCAATGATAATATTTCTATTTGTGCAAATAGTTCCTTTGGTACACGAGACCATATTACGTTGTTTACACTTTCGTTGGGCTTTTGTGTACCTCCAAACACTATTTTGGCAATTCTGGATTAAATGTTTGGATTTCAATCATTTATTCAACTTTTAAGGAAAAAAAATGTTTCTTTATACAATTCTCGCCATTTAAATGGGCGTGGCCTAGTTTCAATGATTATTTAAAAATAGGTTTTAAGGTTTC